AGAATTGTTTGTGGCAGGAAATTATTAGGAGTCAGAATGGCCTGGTCAGGTTCTAAGCAGGAGAAAGAAATTGTGCATTCTCTCAAGCTTTTCAGTAGCTGAGATATCAATCTAAGTGATTTATCTAAACTCATGCAGACTGAGAATTCGGTTCAGGGTTCTGGACTGTCAGTGAAAGTGTCTGTCAAACTGCCTCTGTGTAAGGTCTAACTGAAGTAACTTTACCTGTCCCTTTCCTCAAACAGAATACGATGCTTATCATTCCATTAATTGTTTAAATCTTTACTTAGAAAGCTGCTGAAATGGTCTCCTAGAGTCACTGAGTTGTATGTTTTGGTTTTGTAAGCATAATCTTTTTTTAAAACAAGAAACAAACTGAAGAGTTGTAACAAATAATTTCCCGTCTTGAATTTTCTCTGCTGCCCTGAGTCTGATAGCCTTTGTTCTCCCGGACATACTCTTCTAAAATTACCTGCTTGGCTTGGTATATTCAGTTCACTGATACACCTGAGATCATCATGCAATCATGTCTTTGTTGTGACCTCTTTTCTGTAACGTAGACACCTCAGACCCTGGTGAGATAGATTTTACGTTGATTGTGTGTTCTTTTAAACAGATTTGCCATGTTCCACGATGTCAGGATCCCTAAAGCAAACATAGTGAATATCTCAGGAGATGTCACATCTGAGGGGAAGTACTCAAGTCCAATCAAGGTGTGAATCAAGGTTTTGTTTCATTAAGTTTAAGAGGTAAAGCATGAGCCTCTTGTGCTGGGAAGTTCTGGATATCTGGCTGTTGAGAATTCAACATGAGATGGTCAGAATAGTAGTTTTTAATTGTCTTGCAGAGATATCTTAACTCGCCTTACTGATTTTACTGCCTTCTTGACCTTCGCACTACCCTGCTGATCTCAACTACTTTGAGTCTTGCCTGAACACCTCACCTAAATGTGTCAAGAAACAAAATTGGCCAATCCTTTGGCTTCTGATTTTGATACCAGAGTTGTATCTTTACAAGGGATGGAAACAAAAATGTTAGCCTCACCATTCAGTCTGTGCCTTTCATTCATTCAGGACGTTAAGGAACGTTTTGGTGCAGCTCTGGGATCCTTGTCCAGTAGCAGAATTATTATCATGGCATTTTCCACAACCAATTTAAAGCTTGCTGTATCAATAGCCATTCGCTTCTCAGCAGCTCGCCGGCAGTTTGGACCAACTGACACAGAAGAAATACCTGTTCTTGAATACCAAACACAGGTAAATACTTTGGAATTCACATCTACTGACTTTTATATAATGAAACTCAGGATCAGAGTACTGCAGATCTAAGTAGTGACACTGAATTAGTAAATTGTCTGTGTCATCTGAAGTGTAGCTTTGGGGATTCGTCCCAACTCAAGACCTTTTCCTGGCATGATCAGGCTTTTGACATAAGTTCTTGGAACAGCAAAATCCAAAATGCTCATGTTTCTCTGAAGTACCTAGAAATGTTTGATTACACTTAATTATGTTTATAGATGGTTATTGCTAAGTTCTGTTCTCCATAAAGGTGTTTTCCAATTTGAACAAAGTAAAAACAAATGAGTTGGTTCACTATAATAAGGTAGTTACATAGATATAACTATAGAAATATATATCGTTTTGCGATCAAAGGTATTTAATTTTTGTTGCAGCAATGGCGTCTTCTTCCTTATCTAGCTGCCACATATGCCTTAGATTATTTCTCCAAATGTGTGTTTGAGCACGTCGTAGAATTCTATGCAGGCGTACTGACAAAACAAAGGAGTCAGAGACAGGTGAGATATTTACATATTTATTCTTCACTGAGTTCTAGTAAGAATAATAAACTGGAAATTGTTAAATGAAGGACCTACTTGGAAGTCTTAAGACATATTACAATCAAGAATGCTAGAGCAATGTCTCAGAAATAGGGGACATATAAATTAATGATTAATGCTGCATTCAGGAAAGTATCCGAATTAGTTTTGATGGAGTGACTAAAATTCTATTGATTTCTGTGGAATTTAGAGTTATATTGCCTTACAGAATTGCTTATCGTAAATGTATGATGTTAATGCAAATTCATCTTCTAAATGTTGTAAATGATACTGCAGGGAGCATATATCAAAGACTTTCTGAAACGATGCATTCTTAATTCCTGCAGAGACTCTTTGAGTCTGTCTTGTGCTTCTAATTCATATTAATGAATTAGAGTGAATGTTTTTGGAGAAAATTTGTAAGACTTTTGAGGCTTAATGTTGAATATCTCATCCACAGTCAGTCCACTGAAGTCACTGTGAGGAGAGCACCCATTCTCAGAAAAGTCCACACGCGTAATTAAATTGAATTTATTTAAGAAATGAAAACTCCTCCAAGTTTACAAGTTCGGGTATCAGTTGAGAAGAGCAGTTGCTACACTACACCCAGCCCTTAACAAAAGAATAGTGATCCGGATCATAACTACACTCACCTATAAAAGGATGAGGAGTCTCAACCTCAAGGATTATCCTTGGATATCGTCCCAGACCAAGGGGGAGGGTGAAAGTCCAACTGCAGATCCTGCTGCTTCTTGGACGGCTCTAAAATGGCCACCAGCAGGGCCCCGTTTTAAAGCTCAGTTGAGTCTGAACTGTGGTCAGTCAAAGCCATCTCAGCCTCCCATGGGCTGCCTGCCAGCTTCCCGGGTGTACCCCTCGGCTGGTGAGCGAGTTCCGAACTAGCCAGGTTCCAGCAGATTCTCTGAACTCTGCCTGGCAACCGCTGACTAAGGGCTAGAGGGGGATGCACCTGCCACAGTCACCCCTTTACAGAGGAAAGAGTTTGATCCATCATCTCTGTGCAAGGATTGATTCTTAACTAAAATAACTGCAGTTTGGGGTTTTTTGGAGGCCAGTTCAGCTCAGTCAGTTAGAGCGTGCTGCTGATAACGCCAAGGTCACGGGTTCGATCCCTATTTGGTCCCCATGTGTTGCCTGATCTAGCTGAGAGGCGTCCCTACCAACGACAAGGAGGGTGGATTAAATGATCTCTAAGGTCCCTTCCAGCCTAGGCCATTCTATGATTCTATGATTTTATTGTTTTAAATTTTGACATTATTAATTGTTAAGGCTTACACACTGGCTCTGCGTTGCTCAGATCTCAATTAAACACTCATGTTTTTTCAGCTAAAATAAAACTTGTGAAAAATATAGGTACTAATGGCTGGATATTCTAGTTTCTCTTCTTTGCACAAACCGCAGAAGAATCTTTTTGGGTTTTTTTAATCTGATTTTTTTATCTGTGGAGGTCTCCAGTGCAGTCACTAATCTTAGGCAAAACAGCGGCTACCAGAAAAAAAAACTGTGATAGAAAAAAGTCTAGTTGTTAAGAATGTAATCCTTATTAATTCTTTTTGTTCTACAGAAGATCTTATTAAAAAAAAAAACACAAACACCCCAAAAAACAGCAACCAGGGAGTTAACTCTTAAACAGGCTTTGGTATTATCGACTCATTATCTCTAGAAACTGGAATTCCAAACACATTTTCAAAGGAGGGCCAACTCAGTTAGTGTAAATGCAGGCTACTGTGATTCTCTGGAATTTGAGGGGATGCATTGAACTTTTCCTACTCTTTGCAAATCAGTGTCTGTAAACTGTAAATAATCAGGGAAAACTGTAAGGCAGTAAATATGATAAATATCCCTTGTGGAGTGGGGAGAGAGGGACTGCTCATGTCACAGAGGGGCTAGAAGCTTTCTCTGGGCATGCTACCTTCAACCTGTCTCTCCATCTTTGGGAGGAAAAGGTTGGCAAGCAGTGAACTACCCCATACAACGCCACGTCAGCTGGCACATCTGAACTAAGATGTACCCACATGTCTGTCACCTGGCAGAAATTATTGCTGTTGCTTATAAGAAAGTTAGTGTTCAAGGTTGTTTCAGTTGTGGCAGGCTTTTTTTTATTTTTTTTTGTGGCAGCAAAAAATACCTTACCTAGATCTCAGGAAATGTTATCTATGTGTTGTCAGTTTCTCTTCATCATAAAGCACCACACATAGATGTGGCTTTAACTGGTCACAAACTTACTTTGTGTAGAAGTTTTTACTCACCTGTAACTTGTTTTTGACGAAGGCTGATATGGGACGTGAGCTTCATGCCTTATCTACTGCCAGCAAGCCACTGTGTTCTTGGACTGCTCAGCAGGCAGCCCAGGAGTGCCGAGAAGCTTGTGGAGGACATGGTTACCTTGCCAGTAAGTTCCAGGCTGCTGCATCCACTGATCAGAAAGAGAATGGTTATCTTGATGCATTCCTTGACTGTTGCATCATGGTGTCTGAATTTTAGCAAGGTTTGGAAGAGGCTTTTTTCCTCATATCCATATTTTTAAAGTTCATTTTTTATGTGACACCACAGAAAGAATTAAAACCTTGCAGGATTTGGACAGATTGTGCATGTGATTCAGTCTCAGTTCCAAAAAAAAAGGTGCAGATTTTGTAGATGAAAATTCCCCTTTCTAAAATCTTTCTAGTATATTCATTTCCATAACCTAAACAGTGAACTTCCAGCCTTATTTGTTGGTAACAATAGCTATACATAAAGGAAGAGACAACTTGCTTGCATTTTGTCACAGAATAATCATTTCATCCCCCTTAGTTGCTATTAATGCATTGTCATATATTCAGTTGTGCACTTGTTCTTATTAAGTGAATCGTCTGGGTGAGATCCGAAATGACAATGATCCAAACTGCACATATGAGGGAGATAACAATGTCCTGCTTCAGCAAACCAGCAACTACTTAATGAGCTGGATGAATTGCATAAGAGGTAAGTTTTCATTGCGGAATCCTGTGCTGCACCCAGTGGTGTGTAGTTAATGGAATTAGGAGGTAGTTTCATGCTGAAAGCAAATGGCAATCATTTAATCATTTTGTAGAGCATAAATAATGTGCTACAGCCTCCATCATGTGATGCACTCAAAATACACAAATATCTGCTGCGAGAGCTACTCTTTCTCTTACGTCTTGTATAAGCTAAATAGATGTTTTGCCATCCCTAGTCAGTGTTAAGTAGTATCTTAATCCCTGGGAAGTGCAGTTTAATTCATTGAAAGTTGTTGTCAACCTGGGTACCCTCTGCTCATTGTCCATAAAACAGTTTATGTTGCCTAACTTGGCATCAATATCCATCAGTACATTTTGTAGTTCTCTGGGTAAATGTTTTTCTTTCACTTTTCTAGCAGGGAGTTTCACCAGCATTTTACAGAATACAAAAACTCAGCATAAGAGTTGACTCTTACGGGGCTTATGGGCAGTGATGTCAGGTTTTTAAGGACTTATCCACCAGTCTTTGTTTGGTTGGGCTAGGCCATAATGAAATAAATATTATAGCCTAATTACATCTGGCCTATCAAGTGTATGCACAGCTTTGTAACAGGCATTTAGTTCCAAAGAGTCCGATCTCTTTTCTCATAAATAATTTTCGTTTTCTTCGGTATTTCAGATAAAGCTCCTTTTGAATCCCCTTTTGGAACAATAAACTTTTTGCAAGACTACCATCGCATCCTTGGCTGGAAATTCACAGCCATTAGTGTTGAAGATTGCATGGACTCCTCAGGTAACCCTCTGCTGTTCTTAAAATGCTTCTAGAGTCTTAAATTCCTTTCCAGAGGAAAGGATCCAGAGATTTGAGATTCAGCCTCTGCTACCTGATAGATATTTGTCATCTTACTCTTTGCTGGCCTTGTTTGTATTATATGCAGATGAGCAGATAATGAGATAACAACAGGGCACTGGGCAAAAATGCATCTGTGAAACTGAGAACATACTGAGGAAGAAACTGCTCAATATATAAGGGCCAATTGAGCCAATTCCTAGAATTCAGTAACCACTCATTGCTCAAATAATTGCAAAAATATGAACTTTGGGTAGCAATGCACAGTACCAAATGAGATAGTATCCTAATAGCTAGGGCATAGAATCATTCAGGTTGGAAAAGTCTCTTCCGA